AAAAACGCTTTCATCAACAACCGAGTAACAACTACAATGAAAAATAGCAATGTGGCAATATAAACATGGTGTTCCAAACCGCAAAGTATAATACAGTCAGAAGACTTTTGATATAACACAGTTTCTAGGTGTAATATGACTTTGATACATCGCACCGATTGCAAAGAGACAGAAAAGCACTCAGTTTGCGTTTGTGTACTTTTTATATAATTCATGGATCTTCGCCTGATGACCTAGAAATACCGTAGCATAGAAGTGCCGTGCAGTAAACGCACGAGAACTGGTCCCCTATTTACGAACACTCTCCAAACGTCACATTAAACTGGCAAGTCCCAAACATTCAGCTGGGAATTTATCGGACCAACTCTCGTGTAATTTTGTGAATGAACCAAAGATTTACTCCTCGCAGGAAGTTTTCTTCTGTGGACGCGTTGTCTGCAGAACAGGAATGTACTGGTCCTCCTCATCCTCACTGTTAGTGGATGAAGCGCTATCACTGAATTTGGTAAGGATAAGCATAACAGTGGTAAGAGTTTATAGTAAGCAGAATATCTCAAGAGGCATACGAATGGTACCGAACTGCTTCAATAAATCTATTACTTTGTCTGTTTGGGTTTAAAAGCTGCGTTATTCTGCTGACTAAATGTTGAAGGGGTAGCAAAACAGATTCCGAGAGTATAGACAGATTTTACGATCTTGCATAATTCAATCGAATCATTGAGAAAAAGAATAAAAATATATTTTACCTACGAACAGGAAGTTTCTTACGGAATGACGATGAGAGGTTTGCACGATGCGAAAGGAGATGGGACAGATTCATTTCAGCTACCATCAAACTACTTGAGTAATCACGTTCACGCTCAAGAGGGATTTACGCTAAAAAGACAAGACAAAAACAAAGCTCAGTTTTCGTCAAAATTATTTTTCATCGATTTGGAAGCGGAAAACTAACCAAAAATCAAGTACAAGTTGTTAAAAGCAGTGTCCCCCCAAAAAAATGACTGAAATGAGTGCAAGTCGGGAGCCGGGAAAAGCGGGCAGGGTCCGGAAAACTCCCAAAGTGCATTCTAGGGTTTCCAGATGAGCTTTTTCTTCCAGACTTCACAGTTAGGTTAGTTGGAGAGGGTCTATCACTGGCACGTTGTAAAATCTCAGTACAGTACGAGGAATACTATTTCCTGGAGTTCAAAAAGAGGGAAAAATTCTTGAAGGTGGCTGGAAAAGAACAAAGAAGAAATGGAAAAATGAGAGGAAAAAACTCAATTAGTAAGGCGGAGATATCACAAACCTCGACGCATCATAACTCCCGATACCAGGTATCTTTCCAACAATTTTCATTGCCGAAACCGCTGGTTGCCCATTGGACTGTTCAGACGGTCGATTATTATTCGGATTCTCAGGTCTTGCTAGTTTCTCAGTAGTGCCATCGCCATTGCTACTAGTTCTACAAAACAGAATTGAGTGAATGCTGACTTGTGAATTTACAAACTTACGACTTTCGTTTGATTGCAGTAGAAAGTATAGCTGCCTGTTTTGATTTCTGTGGTTTATTGTCTGTGGGTGCAACTTTCAGCTGAGACACTGTGGGAGGTTCGGTCAGATTCAGTTGGCTTCGGGCTATGGCAGCTTCTCTAAGCGCTTCTTCTTCTTCCTGAAGAGAAAAATGTTAAGCGAAGATTCAAATACAGGACCAAAACGATTCATCAACATGCTGTGTGTCCAAAATCAAGTTTAAGACGTTCTTTGCAAAAAATTGGATCGTGTTTAATATTGGGCGATGAGCTGTTTAGGACCGGAAGGTAGCTCCCAAGAAAGAAATAAAGATAGAGAACACCAACTATCTAAAACAATAGATTTCCTCCAACAAAGTCACTAAAACACTGATGTGCCGACTTCCATTTTGGAAATAGATGAAATCAAAGTGATCGAGGCTTTGAGCAACAAATTTACCTTCTTTGCTTTCCGCATCTGTTCTGACTTCATCTGGTTGACACGAGCCAGAAATTCGCTTTCATCTTCATCAATGCCTCGGATCATATTCTCTGAACATACTCAATAAACTCCTCATTTACCATTTGAGAAAACAGATCTGCTGTATAATGGAAGCTGAAACGTATGCGAAATGCTAAACCTACTGAATTTCTTAGCTTCATCGATTTCCGCCTGCTTGGCCTCTTTGTTGTCTCTTAATTGCTCATAGAGCGATTTGTTGCATACCTCTGGCTCTGGTGCCACTGAAAAAAGCCAATTCTATGAATGCCAATTCAGAATTTTATAAAACCCACCAGCTGGATCATCTGGCTTCCTTACCCGCTCCCATTCTTCTTGTCTTCTTTTCTTCTCTTCCTCGAGTTCACTTGTCGAAACAAACCCACTAGACATACCTGCAAAAGAATAAAATAGAATTTTTGGTGAAGTGAAGCGTAAAATTAGCACAGTTTACGAAGGCTACAGCAAAGCGATAGAGCGAATTAACACTTCCAAAAAAAGAAAAAATGTAGGGCACCGGGAAAATATCGCGCTCTATCAAAAACCTCTACTCTGACGTGTTTT